TGTATCTAATGACTGGGCCCTGAGCTGATTTACCAATGATGAACAGCTTATCAGAACCAGGAAGCCAGTTTAAGAATATGTATGTGAATAATTTCAGCAAAAAAGTTGATTTGAAGGTCAAATAAGATCAATATGTCAAACGACTATTTTCAATCCTTCTCTCTCCTGCTCTGGACAGCTGACTCGGCGACCTCCACCCCAACACCATCACTATTTATGTTCTGATTTCCACTTTTAACAAGACATGCTGCCCGCTGGCAAGACACTCATATTAATACACTCGCTGCCACATAAGTGGTGCATGTGAAGGTAGTATTGACTAAAGTGAGAACGAGCAGCAGAGTGTCCCTGGAGAGCAGTGTGTCCTTGATGACAGAATATATTTGTGCGTGTGTATGTGTGTGGTCTAGGTATTACTTATGTTGTGGGGACCTGAATCTGAGTCACAATTTAGAGACTTTACCGACCCTATTGGGATAAAGTCCAAATCCCGATAATGTAATCATTAAATTTTAAGGTGAAGACATGATGAGGTTTAGGGGGTTAGGCATGCGTGTATGTGTGTTGCATTTGCAAGCCAATTTGAAAGCATCTCTTTGATGATAGAAGGATAGAAAAAACTTGAAGGACTTTTCTCTCTGGAGGCAGAAGACAAAGAGAGAGAACTGTTATTTCTATGTCAGATAGTCGTCATACAAGACCAGTTAGACTTTTCTCTTATTTTAATTACTCCCTTATTCTGAGTTGCAGAAATGAGGGCATTTTTATGTAAGGTTGTCGTCATGTCCAGTGAAAATTTAATAAAGCCGCTTTACCTAACTGAGCTGTTATTCCTAACATCTAACAAATAGTCAGTGGTAAAAATCAGTTTCTACTTGAGGAATAGGTTCACTCCCAGTGTACTGCACAGTTACCATCTGGAATGAAGTGTGCCATTTTGCACAGTTTATACAAAATGCAAATAGTATGCGTTGTGTTTTCATTCAGAAAGTGTGAATCATTTACTATGTCTGTTTCCACTGGTTTATTTACATTAGCTCGGGGCCATTTTTTCATCTGCATAGCAGCTTTATTCCTCTGAGGAAGTTGTTATAGGTGTGTTGTGCAAAATGTGTGATGTGGGAGTAATCAGGAAGGAAAGCTGCCATATATGTGAGCATGGCTCTTCAACTGGAGGCTCATTCAAGCGGTTCATTTTGCTGGTCATTATACCGCCACACCAGCAACAGTGATGGAGCCATTATGTCTACAAGTTGTAGATCCATTGATCTGTTTGTCCATCGCATTCTCATGCGCTAACTCAGGAAACACTTTAGGCAGTTTCTTCACATTTGGCACAAACTTCCACTTGAACTCAAATAAACTGATAAGAGTTTGGTTGTCAAAGGGCACGGTCATGGTGACCTCATAAAACACGTTATTAGCCATAAATTCATGCACTAAAAATAAAACATAAATGACAAAGTGATAACATTTAGTATCCAACGGGGAAATAATTGGTGGAGTGGTGTCGCATCTCTGATAAAAAATGTTTTGTTGGCCACAAATGGCATTGGCATGATATTCTCCATTGCAACACTGGCACTATGACAACTAATGATTGTAACAGTTGCCAAACAAATTCATAATATTGGTAACAGCAAGTTGGCTAACATTACCACGCCTGCTCTAGTCGGTCATCTAGGAAAACCGAAATGTCACATTGCCAATCACGTTACCTGCTTATCATGCAGGTGAACAGCCAACTACGTCAAGTTGCACCTCTTTAGCAGCTCTTAAGGGTCTCCATCTTGGAAAAAAACATTCAATATTGACTCTGATCTTATCACCTTCTTTGTCGGAGGTATTTTTTGCCGAGGGAACATGGTTTCTTCAGTGGAGGGAATTCTTGAAAGTAGCTTGCACATGAACATATACACAGAAATCTGTTTTGTTATGGGCATCTAACTATTGTTCTTAGACAAACTTAAAAAATGTGAACATATCCTTCAATGCAGCGTATCCCTGATTATGAGTTTTTGTTATCAGTGAATTTAGCTAATTTACACTACTGTGTGTGTATTTCTATCTTTGACTGTTAGATCTTACAGAGTGAAGACATATAGCCTGTTTTTACAACTTCAACAGATTGTTTGAGGGTTAAGACTATTGTATGGTTAAGGTGAATGTAAGGGTTGGGGTTAGGCATTTAGATGTTAAGGTTAAGGTTAGTGTAAGGGGCTAGAGAATGAAATGAGTGTCCTAAAAAAGAGTGAAGTACAAGAATGTGTGCTTTTGTGTGTGTTTTATTGTCAGTTGAAATCAATATATTGCTCTAAATTGCACATGAAATGGACTCCAACACTTCACATATCCCCATTGATATCTCCTCCCTTTTCTCTGCATGAGTAACACAATGACTCATTATGCCCACTCTTCCAAAAATGAATGCTCTCCAGATTTAATTTTCACAATTAAATATTTGGCTTGTGTTTCAGATATTTATTTACAGCCCAATCTGTTAAACAATTATCAAAAGTTGATTCATAATTATTTTGAAACCAATACAATACAATATTTATTACCAGATTTGGTGAATACATCACTATAATTGGTTAAACTGTCCCACTAATCAGGAAGCTCTAATAACTAACCTTGTAATTAACATCTGAACCTGTTAGTGAAAACTGACAAAAACTTGAAAAACTGTCAAACAAGTATCAAGTTCTCACAAGTTCAGACTTTACTCCAATAACAGTACAATTTAATAAGTAAATATAAAAGAGGATATATAGATAAGTTTTCCTTACTTGATGGGAAGGGAAATTTCCTTCTACAGTATTATTGTTTGAGGACATGGCCTTATAAGTGTGTGATGAGCCAGAGACGGAGCTGCTTTTGGCAAAACAACAATAGAATATTTGGAGTCAGTTGCCAAGCAGCACAGCAGGTTTTGATTTACGATGATGTCTTCCTGCTGGCAGCTTGTTGCAATTAGTGATGTGCTTGAAGGCTCTGGCAGTCTAGTGGTGTTATATTTTCTTTTCTACATTGCTAACGTCATTCCTGTGTTTTCTGTTTGCCGGAGTCCTGGCGATATATATTTCCTCTGAGGAGGGTTTCATACGTGACTTTCCTCTCGCCTCTCCTCACTCAGCCTTCTTTTTCTCCTCTCAGCGATGATGTCATCGTCATGTGTTAGCATATCTCTTCCCCGCTTTTTCCTTTTTTTTTTTTTTCTTTCCCTGCCGGTCGCAGTCTGTTCTCCTCATATCCCTTTGACTTTCCTCAACGCGATGCTGAGCGCCTGCTTTCAAGACACGCCACATTTCTGACAAGTGCAGGTGACAGAGTGCATGGGCTAGTTATATTTGGACAAAGGCCACACAGACGGCCTGCTTTTGATTTCTGAATTCAGGTCGGGAGGAGGAAATCTATAGAGAAGAAACTATTCAATCAAATGAACAGTCAATCACACACTCAGCTGTATGTTACATGTTTGATAAAGCCCAACACCTACTGTGGTGATATCAAGATCTGATATTGGTACATAGTACATCATTTAGCAAAACTTAATACTCACTAATCCTGTCACCAAGAGCTGAGGGATGAAAATGTTAAAGGGAGAGGTACTCATGGACAAGTTACCAGGGCCAACATACAGAGACAAACAAATATTCCCTCTGACATTCACACCTACTGTCAATTTGGATTCTCCATTAGATTTAACAGCGGTCTGCATGTCTGTGGACTGTCGGAGTAAACCAGAGAAACCCTGGGAGAAAATTCAAAGTCAGCACATAGACTCCTGGCCAAACTGGGAATCGAACCTTCTTGGTGTGAGACAACAGTATTTACCACTGCACAACAGTGCCACCCTGTATATAAAATATTATAAATTATCAAAACCTCTCTATTTCAGATTTTTCATAAATTTCTCAACTTTCAGCTCCAATATCCATACACATTTTTCCACCAAGCAGCTCTGTGTTTAATAAAAGGCTTGCAACTATATAGATTCTCATTTTTTTATTTCACTGCTGTGAATTTCTAACAATGAAGGATGGCTCTGTATATGTACAAATAACAAATAACAGATATAAAAGGAAAGAAGTGTAATTTTTTTTATTTTTTTTTATAAAGGTTTGGTTTAATTACAATTATCCAAAACCTTTGCAGATGAACGTGATGGCATGTGGCTTCAGTCCTGTTTTCCTATGTGTCTTTGCAGGTGTGTGTTGCAGTCAGGTGGTGGTACCTCAGAGGGTGAGCGCTGTGCTGGGGAAGAATGCGACATTGGAGTGCAGGGTAGAGGTGGGAACAAACCTCACTCTCACTCAGAGTTCCTGGGAGCGCCGCCTACCTTCAGGCTCCGTCACCTTGGCTGTTTACAACCCACTGCATGGCATCTCCATCCCAGAGCTTAGCCACCGCTTGTATTTCCGCTCACCCTCCTCTCACGACGCCACCATCGTCCTGGAAAACGTGGGTTTTGCTGACGTCGGGATCTACACCTGTAAGGTCGCTACATTTCCTCTGGGAAATACTCAAGCCTCCACTACGGTCAATGTGCTCGGTAAGTATTTGTAGCATGTGTGATTTTGAATATTTATCAAAATCAATATCAAATGTGAATAAACTGCATGTGTAAATGTAAATTGATTGTCTTTCGGGACAAAACAAGATATTTGAAGATATTGCGAGCAAATCGAGGACAATGAGTTTTACAGCATCAGAAAACAGTCTTGTTAGCCTTGAGTCTAGTATTAGCCCTTGTTTATAAGGACCTGTTGAGTAATAGCGGGTTCCAATGCTGTGTTTTCAATTTTACTGAAAGAACTACCCTTTTGTGTTCATTTGGATCACAGGTTGTCACTGATGGCTTACAGACACACTGCGTGTGTGTGCTCACTTTGTTCACAGAACAGATCACAGGGATGGTTAGAGCTGCTAATGGTGGTTTGGCTTTGGTTTTAGTGGAAGAGGTGAAGAAAATTGAATTAAAGCTGCGAGAAAAGAAAACTGGTATTGATTTAAAAGAAGAAAGATGACCTGAGAAGGATGTTGAAATTCTAACGCGTCTCCCGCCTTGTTGTTTGTTCTCTCTCTGAATCACAGTGGAGCCGAAGGTCTACGTGTCAGCAGGTTCAACCGCCCTGATCGATGGCGGCAATGAAACCGTGGTGGCCACCTGCATCGCTGAGCGGGCTCGGCCTCCCGCTGAGGTTTCCTGGGAGTCCAACCTGTTTGGCCAGTCAGAAGTGCAGCTGTTCGACGAGGTCAACGGCACCACCAGCACACAGGTGCGCTACCTATGGCAGCCCACGCGCCACGTCCAAGGCCACGCTCTCACCTGTGTGGTCCGCCACCCAGCTCTGCTGAATGACTTCAGGATCCCATACCAGCTGAACGTGCAGTGTGAGTGTCTCTGCGGGCTGAAAGAGCCTTATATCAAAGATATAGATTAATATTGATTCTGTTCTGCTACAAGGCTTTCATTTCCTCTGCCAAGGAGGTTATGTTTTCTCCTCTTGTCTGTTGGTTTGTTTGTAAGTAAGTTTACACAAAAACGATTGAAAGGATTCCCACCAAACTTGGTGTAATAATGTGGTACGGGTCAGGGAAGAACCCATTTTGGTGTTGTGGATCAGGAGGCAGTTCCAGGATTTTTTTTCCCACTTCTTAAGGACAATTTTTCCACATGAACACTGTATGCAGGGTATAAGTCCTGGAAAAAATCAGGCACATATATGAAACTGTTATCTATGACTTTGTTTTAAATGTTTTTTAATAATAATCGCACAATTATTAGACTTGACAGAATAAACTTAAAGAGTCGATTAAGGTCCAAGTTTAGCTGTCATTTGATGAGGACATACACGACAGCCTAAACATTTAATTTTGTATTTAACACAAAGTACGGTCTTAAAAGTGATGGTATTTAATTTCCTACAGCAGACAATTGATAGCCCTTGGCCTTGTCTGTGTTGATGTTTGATTTATTTGAAGCACATCAACAACAATCCACTTTAGAAGCAGCTGAATTGATGGCGATGAAATGTGTCTGGATGAAAACGACTAGCCACTCATGCTTCTCACAGGTGTTGATTATGGTTTAAGAAAGGCTGTCCTTGGTGTTCTCTGTCATTCATCTTTTTTCCCCACAGTCTATAGGCTTTTCTGCGTCAGTACATTGCCACTATTTGTAGCCTTTAACTGCCAAAAGAAGAAGTGTTTTCTGCCAGTACATATCTTTACTTTAAGGGGCACAAATGTGTCTTTTTATTTGAGATACATATCGACTGGTGAAAGGGGTAAAATAACCCACATGAAAATATTTTAGTTTGACAGATAATTTTAACTTTGCTCTGAGTTAGTGTTTTGTGACAGATGGCTGCAACAAAGGATTTTATGCTCATTTGGTGTCGGCACAGTGACAGACAGTTCCAAACATAAAACATAGCAAACATTTATCCATGGAACAATGCCCTGTATTCTGTAGTGTAAGTAGCTGAACAAATGGCAACGAACAGAGGAGCTGTCTTAATATAGACATCTGTGAAAACCCCATGATAACTTGGCACTGAAGAGAACTGGAGAACATTGTTGTTGACCTGGATTTAAAATGTGCAAATCATTGTAGCATGCAAGCGATGTCTGGTAGTTCCTCTGTAGGTGCTGTTTTGATTGTATAGTTTGCTAAACATCTTTGTGCATATTTGGATGACATCACGACCGACCCCAGACACCATATAATGCTGCACACAAAAAATAGTCATCTTGTTTGTCTCTTTTTAACGTATGAAAATGTACCTTGGTTTACCCTGTTAACACTAGAGCCGGACCAATACAGGTTTTTAAGAATGATTCCAAGACTGATATTGGAGTAAAACATTTTTTGTTTATATGTTAAAAAATAAAAATGGCAATTATTACAAAGATGTCCTTATCAAACCTATGTGACAAAGAAATGTAGTTGAGGCTTTAACTTTTTTATAAATCACTCTAAAGAAGAAAAAAAAGAGAAAAGTGTTGCACATAGATGAACTTTATGAATGGGTGAATGTAAAATTGTGCTGTAAAGTGCTTTAATTGGTCTTCAAGACAAGAAAAGCGCTGTATAAATACAGACCATTTACTACTGTTCTGTCTGCACAAGAACTTTTTTCTTAGGTTCTGATTTCTCTGTTTTTGTTGTTTGTCTTTCTGTAGTTGCTCCTGACATCTCAGTGGTGGGCTACGATGGAGACTGGTATGCGGGTCGGGAAAACGTTCAAATGACGTGCAAAGCCAACGCAAACCCACCAGCTCATCACTTCAGATGGATCAGGTCTGTATGTCTGTGCGCGTGACCTTTTCTGAGTTTTTCTTGGTTTCTGAAGGCCACATTGAGGATTAGCAACTGAAGAGTAATGTTGATGTGAACTCTATTTAAATCTATCATGTCATTTTGCATAATAAGATGTTTGTTGTAGGTGTGCTTGTGTCTAAATGTTTGTCTCTTGTGTGTCACAGATTGGACAGTGAAATGCCAGAAGGGGTGGAAATAATAAATAGCACTCTGCTCTTCCTGCGTCCCCTTCAGCGGAATGACTCTGGAGTTTACAGGTGTGAGGTTGCCAATGACATCAACCTCCGCAGTCGGGATGTGCGCATTCTCATACAAGGTGAGCGGAGTGTACACACCAGAACACAGCTGACTCCTATTGCCTTCTCCTCCCTTAGGAAGCATTGTGCGTGCATGCAGGTCATGGAGGGTATCACTGCCTGTGACATTGTCCTTCAAGCTGAAACGTGACACTGTATCACTCTGGCTCATCCTCTACATACTGATTGTATGTCTATCACAGCCACGGCACAGTGTGTTGGCACTGATAATAGTGATAATATTAGCTTGAGTTTTAATTGCATGCTGATTAACATTAGGTCTCCAGATGTTCAAAAGGGAAGTTCAGCTGCCAAACAGCTGCAAAGATTTAAGGCCTCTTCAGACCACCGTGCACTGCCTCTGCTCCGTCCTCTTGGCTTGGTATCTGAGTGTGTCATGTCACTCTGTTGTGTTTGATGAGCATGTTCATCTGGTTTCCTAAACTCGCTCTTGTCTGTGGAAGCCCTCTCAATGAATGATGCCCTGATTATGATGTGATTTTCTCTCTACATCTTTCTCGTTTCCTTTCTGTGTTTCTTTTATTTCTGCATGTGTCAAGCAGTAAGAGGCAAAACCCTGCAGCCTGACGGAGATGATGTCCCAGATTCATAAAACATTAACTAGTTCTTCTCAACTCCTATTTATTATTTATCATCCATATTTCATTTTCCTTTGAGAGGACCTGTACGGGTATGCATAAGCTTACACGTGTTGGTGTACCCTCGGTTGTGTATGTGTGTTGCTGTGGGTGTGCTCACATATGTCAGTTCGACTGCCTCTGCATGGAGTTGGACGACTGAGACTACAAACATTTGGGTTCATGTTACTTAGCTCTCAGATGTGAATCTTTTCCTCACATCTGGAAGGGCACTGAGGTTAAAATGGCAGAGCTATTTAGCAGCTCCATTAGAGCTTTTAGACTTTCCATTACTTGAGCTCTGTCTGATTATGGCTGTTTGCTTTTCTCTTGTGTGGCTCCACCACTAATATAGTTCACAGTAATAGTGTTGTAATTCAATATTGTTATATAACGCCTAATTTTACTTGCAAAATATTAAGTATATCATGCAATTTCCAAAATTATATGTATTCCTGTGCAAAAATGCATTTCAAATTCCATTGTTAATTCACCTCAGTGAGTCACACATAGTTTATGTAATAAATATCTTTATAATATATAAAATATGTATTTTAATTAGTTTTATTTTAATGAACTCTGTGTAGGGACTCTAACCATGTCAAACAATCCATCAGACACTGACTATCCTCAATGTGACACCAGGATTCTGACAGAGCGACAGAATAACGTGTTTACAGAGTTTCACCTACTAATAATTTGGGGGATTTGGATTATTTCCTTTCACAGTTTCAGAAATCAGGTATTTTAAGAGAGCGGGTTTCACAGACAGAAGCTTCTCTGCCAACAAAGCAAGTAATGAATTACTGACCCGTTATAAAGCTGTACATATTAAGTGTTACACACTCCTATTAAACTGAATGGACATGAAACTACCTGGGTGAGGCAAAGTCCTCCACTGAGCCAAGTAATCTTAAAATATGGCATCACCAAAGCTGTTCTTAGTTTCCAGATGGAAATGAAAAAGGAAATGGTGCACTTAGAGGCCAACAGCAAACACACAGCTTCATGGAGCTAATACTGACCTGCAGATAAGACCTGCTGGAGCAGTCATGACATTGGAAAAAGTTGGTTAATATCACCTAGGTTACAAGTGCACATAATTTGATATCCAGGTGCAAACCCAGAAGAAATATTTTACTGAATTTCACTTTTTCACAGCATTTTAAGACTGATTTCTGTTGGTAAACTCAATGAATGTTTTTAATTTGTGCATAATATACTCTTCTCAGTCTTTGGTTTCTTCAGTGGTCTTGTGTCTGCGTTACTACTAAAACTCAATAATCTCTGTCCACACAAGCATTATAGTTCCGTATCAGTAATAAACCCCGTCCATATGAGCACACCTGAAAACGTATATCATGTGACCATTCACACTGGGCATGTGCTTACTAGTGTAAACGGACAAGAGTTTGTCTACTGTGCAGTTAATTGCTTAGTGACAGAAAAAACAACGAACAGAAATTTTTATTAAAAGAAAGACATGGGATTAATTATCTTGGACCAATCAAATTCTAGTGTTTTGTTTTACACATATCTATTCTTCATTGTATAGTAATGGAACACTGCAGCTACAAGTTCTGAAGAGTTGGCAGCGCAGACCTGAGCTCACTGAGACCATGTACTGAATAGTTTAGTATGTGTGGTAGTTTAGTTGATGTTTTTTAACTTATCCTTTCTTAGTAAAATGCTGATGTAGTTGGCATTGACAATCTCTGCTTCTCTGTCTGTTCATCTCTCCCTTCCATCGTCTACTCCCCTCTTACCCTCCTCTCCTCCATTAGATCCTCCCACCATGCCTTCCACCATTACTGCTCCTGTCCTAACTGGCTCTGCCTCCTCCACCTTAGTGGATGATAAGGGCCATGTCCTCCTCAGCTTCCCCACACTCGAAGCCCTACCTGAGAGTAATCTTGGTTCCATAGTGGGTGGTGCTGTGGGTGGGGTCTTGTTCCTGCTACTGCTGCTGTCTCTGGTAGGTGTGTATTACCTACGCAAACAGCAGACCTTTCACGGGAATTACTACACCAAGCCGTACTTGGGTCCCAATGACCTCCAGAAAGCCCCCACGCAGCACGAGCTCCACCCAACCAAAGCCGGCAGCAGCAGCTCCTGCCGCCGAGACCACGACCGGGAGGAGTGGGGCGACCGCCAGCTCAAACAAGAGCGTGACCGCCGTCACCATAGCGACTATAACGGAGAGGAGTATCCCCCTAACGGCTACACTAGGGCAATGAGGGAGAGCAGTCACCACAGCCATCAGCAGAATCACCAACGTGAACACACACAGTATTCTAGTCCACAGCAGGCCAGATTCCCTCATTCACCGAAGCCTCAGGGAAACGGCTCCCCCTACCTTTCAGATGACTGCTACGATAGCGGGCCTGAAGGGGACTATGTCTCTCACACAGATGGCTCGGTCATTTCACGTAGGGAGTGGTATGTTTGACAAGTTGGTTCTCCAGGAGCAGAAATGCTACATAAATAGGAAGTTTTCATTTATTAAATAAGAAAGAAGAAACACATTATTTCTGTTTTGTACGCACACAGTCTCAGTTCTGTACTTCTCTTGTTCCACAAGCGTCCTGGACGACACTTGATTTAATGTTTCTCTTTGTCTTGGGGACAGACTGGACTGTTCAGCTCCACACCTACATGCCTACAAAAGTGGACATGTCACTAGTTTGTGTGTGTAGAGCCTCACAAAAGACAATGCTGTATGTGCTGTTTCTGCCTTACTACATGGACTGCCAATGTATTTAGTATTACTCATGTCTTTCAGTGGTGTGACAGCCTCGGGACTTTGAGATCACATATGTTTGTCTTTGAAGAAAGTTATTTTTAGTTTTTCAACAAAATCAGCCTTTTTGGGCTATGTGGCGCTTTTTTGTATTGTATATGTGTTTCTATTGATTACACTAAATACATTTACTTTAGAAGACATGGTTATGATTAGCCGATATTCAAGAATGGTGCAGAACCCGATTGGAAATAAATCCATAAAATTGAGGTGGTCACAAGAACTTTCCCCAAAACTCAGTATAGGGCTCAGCAGAGGCTATATAAGCTGATTCAAAAAGGTCTTGCTGAGAAATCAATATCCCTCCATGCTTAGTGACCTCATGCTCCCTCATGCTCATACATATTATTGCACTCCCTTTTGCATAACTTAATAATGGGCAAACCGGATGATCAGACCATTTCTTTCCTTCTTAAATATCTGCCCTTTATTTAAATTACCGCAATGGGAGACTTGTGAGGTCGAGGACTTGACCGTCGATGTCCTAGTAACGTCCTTTAAAAGTGATGGCCCAGAGTGGGAAACTTAAGAGCATTTCTACGGTATGCCCTCAGCTCGTCTTATATCCCCAGGAGGCCGGGATAGAGAGCGGCTAAGCAGAGAAGCCTGTGTGCATGAGGCACAATCCACTGTAGCAACAGACTCGGTGTGTCACATAGTCGAGCTTTGATATGCAAATTTGCCACACCATCCTTTTTGTTCACTGTAGAAAATAAGTTAGAATATTATTACTTAACCATTTATTTTTTATCTCACATGGGGATTATGGATATGTTTGTATTTGCTCTCTACCCCCCAAACCAGGACTCTGGGAAATTGTTTGGCTTGTTTGAAGCAGGCCGTCGGTATGGCAGCCACCATGCACTGGCCTCCTTGTCACAAAGTATTTTGTCAGACAAAGAAATCATTCAGAAGTGCAGCCAGGACACTATTACACATAACTACCCATGGTCTAATTTCACTACTCTCAGTAATCTGTTGAAACAAGAAGCAATTACAATCTGAGGCATTAATAGGCTTATTGTGGCTTATCCATGTGTGCAACTGCACACTCTAATCATACTAACCAGTTATTTGAAGCATTTATGATTATTATTATTATTATAACTCATACTATTAGATAATTCAGACAAATCGGGTCTTTTGTGCTGGATGTGCTGTCTCTGTCACCTGTGGTTATCAAACTGTCCACTCAGCTCTTTATCCACAGCCGGTGCTTACTCATCAGAAGGGACAGACAATTTGTTTTAGTGCACTGATGATTAAATCTTTCACTTTGAGTAGTGATAAAATAATCTGGCTTGAGTTGCAACTAATTCTGTATTTCTTTGTTTCCAGCCTTATTTTACTGCCCATTAAGGTGCTCAAACAATTGCAGGACTATGACTGAACTAAAGTGAAAGTGTTTTTTTTTTTTATATGTCAGTGTCCAGTGGTCAGGAGTCAAAGCTATTAGGGAGTTCAAGATACATTTCAGTTTTTGTATGTGATTGGCTGACACAGATAAAAAGTGTTCAACAGTTCACCAGACTGCATGGAGGCTATCCCACAGTTTATTTCATGTACACTATAGTGTTTGTGAATACATGACAACTTCAGTAGTGTGGTCACCTTTACAATATTTGCAGTAAGATGCCAAATATTTGTTGAACTTGTATGTATAGATAGAATATGATGATGACGACAGTGCGTCTCACAAGTATTAAGTGACTAGGTAGCAACTGATTATTATGACGTAGCTTCTATAAATTCCTAACGTATCACTGTTGTATACAGGGTCTTGTAGCCTGAAATAGAAATGAAAAGATGCTTTTTGGCCACTTAAATATTACAGTAAGAGTCGAGAAAATGGGATTAAGTTATATCGTTATGAACCTGCACTAATTTGTCAGGGTATGAATCATGTGGTGTTAAAATGAATCTTGTGGCGATTCTCATGTGAGATTTAATAATGTGCCACTGTGACTTGCAAGCGGACAATATGACACCTGTGTCGTTATTCCAAGTGTTTCAGATGCTGTGCAGTGCAGCAGGACTAACACCAAGCTTCCCATTTCAATAACTACCTTGCATTTCAGTTTACTCTAGTCATATTAATATGATTCCTTCACACTATGGGTGTGATACGACAAGTTTTGGTTTAATGTACCCTCCTGAGATTTCTTGCCTAAAACACTACACTTGATAATCTACTCAACACACTGTCAAAGGTTTTGATATGGACTATTTCTGTGGTAGAATGTAGTTCACATAAAAAAAATTCAAGTGTCTGTCACCCAAATTAACCAAGGAGATATATTTTTTAGATGTTGCCTTTTTTTTTTTAATTTGATGTAATTTTCCAAACCTTTCGAAAAACTACAATGGCACTCAGTGCAGTGCATGTCTTTGTTAAGGTCCAACAATCTCCTTAAAACCAATCAAGCTGCACCAAATTTCATAAACTAATAGATATAATTTTACTTAAGGTGTTGGATTTTATTCCATTTAGATCCACATATTATTTCCTGTCAAATTTGTGTAAAAACCTTTGTCTATACATCCAAATTTACATGTAAAAGAGAAAAGAGCTTGGGTGAACCACAAAACCTCATTTAAATGGTTGAACTGGTGATGTTGCTGCTGACTCCTGTGATTTCTGTATTTCACATGAATGCAGAAAGCAACAGGAAGCACAGCAGCCTCATCCCGTTGTTTTGTTTGCTTCTATGCACTAAGACGGAAATTCCACTAATCAATATATTATTTTTGCTTGACTCGTCAGTTTGCAGCCCTGCACCTGGATTAATGAAGTTCTTTTGTACTGTGACATTTGTATAGACATCAGTCATCAATATCTTCAGGAGACGTCCTTCACTTTGGGTTGAGAAATACAACTAGTGCCTTAGATACCTAGATGAAGACATTTCAGTGTTTTTCTTAATATTGGATGTGGCGACCTGATTTTCTTTAGCATTTTTGATTTTTACTGCATAATGTTTGTGGGGAGGACTCAGTGGTGCCATATTCACTTCTCAGCCCTTGTCACTATGATGATTGATGACGCAGTATATTTACAAATCTAGAGGCATTAAAACACACACACAAAGATGATGCTTAAATGAATTTTAATATAAAATGAGTTAAATCTCTACTTCATATCTATGTGTCAGGGTTTTTTTTGTTTTTTGTTGAATCACTGTTGTTAAAAAGACTGAAGAAATAACTTCAGTCTCACATTGTTCAAATGCACCTTGTGGTCATGTTTGTTTTTGTATATACAGAAGGAAAAAAAAAAGAATATTTATGTGGGTGACAACAGTGATGCATTATTTTGTCAAACGTTCTGAGAAACTTTAGTTGAATAAAGCACCTTAGCACCTGTGAGTGATTCTCTCTGGAGGTTTTTCCATCTCGCCATTACTCAGACTGCTCAGTCTCAGCCTCTTTGTGCTTCTGTAAATGACATCATCTCTCACTCCCTAACGCATAATGCTGCATAACCACCCCCCCAAACCCAGTACGCACGTGTGGGACGCCGTACATGATGTAATCCACAATCCTTTTTTTGTCCACTTCACCATATGTCCATTACGCTTTAATATCTGAGAATGCTTCAGGAGTTTGATTTATCGGTTTGCTTTAAAATACAATGGTGGAATAGTGAGCGCTTCCTGTCCACTGGAGTACGAGTGGAGATCGAGCAGCACCTCTGCTCTATGTGCCTTCTTGTTTGCTTTGTTTCAGAGTAGAAAGGCCCTCGCTCTCCCCTGCAGCTCCTCTCCTTTGTGAATTCAACCCCCCTTGTGTCTTTCTCCCACTGTCTACCAGCTGGTAAAATTAAATGCTGAGTGTTTATGTCTGGCCCAAAGTCCCCACTCTCCAGCCCATTGACTGTCCCCATGGCAACAAGCTCATCTGGAGCTGCTGATGGAGGCTGTCTTCCCACAAGCTCTACCTGGCCACAGAAAAGTGGGAGGGAGAGGGGATGCCAGGGGGGGGCGAGCGTGGAGCAAAAAGGTTAAATGTGCTGCTGTGAAAAGCGAGAGCAGAAAATTAGCCACTGGAATTGAAAATGGCCCGTTATGTTCTGCTGCACTGCAGAGTGCTCCTCTGGCTGTGAGGGCGTATCATGCCAATGTGACCTTGACACCGTTCAGCATGGACCTCAGGTCTTCATGACAGACGCACTTCCCTCTGAACATCTTTATTTAAGCCGACCTTGCTGTCTTATATAGACCTTATCATGGTCGCAGCAGTTGTTGTCACTCTGACCTTGAAATGGGGCATGCACAGTCTGAAAATACACGGCGGAGCAGCTCGGTATATAGCGACAAATGATGTCAGCCGGCAACGCTTGTGTTTGTTTGAGACTTGTTAGGAAGATCAGTGGATTTGCTTTTTGCCTGCACACACAACAGTTTCCAAGGAGACTTTTCAGAACACACAAAGAAGCGAGCAAACGTCTCGAGCAGTGAGAGGGATGCAGCACTGACGTCTGTTTACGAGAGACTTTGATAATAACTCCCCAGCAGAAATGGGATCAAATTGTTTCCATCATTGAGCTAAAAATATTGAAATAGATGACACACTGCCTGCAGCTCTAATCCCCCCCACCCCCTGTTGTCTGACCCTTGACCCTGCTGGGTAGATTTTGGGACAGGGGTGGTAGGGGTGGGGGTTAGGGTTAGCCTTTGCTCCCACGCTTCTCCTCAGTTGACCATGCTGCACAGTGTTAAATTCATGATGAGCATGTCAGCCTCTCTGACCTCGATGAGCGATCGGCGTGCACTTTTTTCACGGCTTCCCAGGGATGACGTGCGTGTGATAAAGTGCTGAAGTAGAAGAGACGGAGAAGTTCTTGTGCCGGAGCCAGAGCCCCGAGTGGGGACAGTTGATCCACCACTAACACCGCTAATCCGAGCCCCTCCAGAACGGATGGTATTTAAACAAATGAGATGTTCAATTGGGACAAAAATGTCAACCGAACATTGATAAATATGTTTACGCATATCATTGCCTTATTTTTAGCTAAATGACTCTCATAAGAAGCACTATGGGAGATTAATGATGTATTAAGCTGCACCTTAGTTCTATCTGATCTCAGGATTTCCCTATAATAACATATGAGATAAGTTTAGACTGGTCTGTGATTAAACCTCATGAACTCCTGAAGGTGTTTCTTACATGTTGGGTTTAAAAGCACTTTATATTTCTAGTCACGTCATGAATGTTTGAGAAATTGTCTGTCTCCTGCAGCAGCATTACGACATAATGAACTGCATTTATAAAGGCCTTTTGATCAACTCAAGAGTCTCTTGTCATAGCTCAGCCGCCATCGAAGGTAATCGAGCGGTTATTAACTGTGAGAGGACGTTGTAAAGGGAGCGGGGAGGGGGGAGGGGAAGAAGGGGCTTTCAGGGGCTGAGCTAAAGTCCCGGCTTGTGCAATCTGCATCATAATTGAACTGTTATTTAGGATTCTCGTCTCAGCATGTTATTGATTTTTCTTCTTTTCTTTCCCCCCCTGTCACCTCAACACCTTCTTAAACCAACTGGAAATGACCACTGCACATTTTGTTTTTTTTTCCCTTGTCACTTTTTGACTTGGATTTTTTCAGTGTCCCACAATAACAGTAACACATTTACAGCTGATTGGCCAAAGCTCGCTGTTCTGTGAGTTTAATGCATCTTAATCACTGATTAATCCTAATCCCCTCAATGGACTACATGGAGTATATGCAAGCATATGGTCTGACAAAGCTAATTCAACAGACACAACAACTGTATCAAGTCCACACACAAAAGCGGGGAGGGACAGGATGGATGGATAAAGATATAAAAGCTTAAAAGTGGGATATTAACTGATGTTTTATTTCTTAATAAGAATAAAACATGAAAATGAAACTATAGACTTTATTTCATGTATCTGATAAAAACCCATTCAAAACCCCAAATGTTCAGATTTTAGGGGGGAAATAATCAGAGCAGTAATGAGCATGGTTAAGACCTGCAGAGACACATTTTTTTTATTGTATGTGCCTCATGTACAATTTTATTAGCATTAAAACCCAACAATGATATCAATCAAGTGAACGTGTCTTGTTGCATTACTTAGAGCGCCCCTGTCTTGTAGTTTTGCTGACTGCAGATGGATACTGATGCAGACGCTCTGTCGGCTTTGTCAGTAGATGGCAACATGTTGACAAAAATGTTGTTGTTACTCCCCTTGCCTCTAGGTGGATCTGAAACTAAATGTACCCAGATGACACTGTGTCCTTGTTATACAAATATCCAATGCGCCCCGACTATATTGACAGAAAATCCAAACAATATGAGCTTCATTTCCTCCAGCGCAGGCCTTTGAGTGTGTCCCTTCTTCTCTCATGTTGTTCTTATCATAATGAGTCTCTCTCCCTCCTCTGTCTCAGACCAGTCTCAGGCAGAGAGGTCAAACTCCATCGCCGTGGCCGGAGCTGTCATGGGCGCAGTCCTCGCCCTCTTCCTCATTGTCATCTTCATCATCGTGATCCTCACCGCTCGCAAGGCCCCGCCACCAGCCTTCACTGACAAAGTGTAAGTCTGACAAATAATTCATGCTGCACAACATGCTTGGCTGGATATTAGTGACACGAGAACTCGCGGGGTTGACTGGAGCCCATCGTGGGTTCAAGGAGTTGCTCCCTCCCCCTGCAGAGAGAGCTGCGGCGGAGCGCGGCCCCGGAGCAGGGAGGCTGCAGGACAAGGTTGAGGGGTGGCAGATGATTGCTGTCTTGGCAGCCAGCCCTTGTGCTGTTTTGATGCATCTGTTCCTGTAGTGCACCAGCACTCGTGTTAATGTTAGAAGAAGCAAAGAAGAAGAACTTTGAGGTTAAATTATTTACAGAAGAAGCTGGGTCACACTGCCAGAGACCCATGATTGACATTTCCCCGTGTGTGTATGTGTGTATGTGTGTCTGTGCCTGCCTTTTGTTCTTTGTTTCGTCTGTCTCTGTCGTGTCTCCTCTAAATAACTGTGACAGATGGTAAATTATAGGACTGAACAGGATCTTTTGTGTGTTCTAGTCCATAAGGATAAAACCTGGAGGGTTTATTCTGATTAAGTCTGCTTCAATTTATCATTAGAGTCCGCACAACAACACAAATGTGCACGATATGTGCCCAATCTTGCAGATCGACCTGCTACCCCATACATACAAATCATTATTATGAACCTGTGGAGCATATCTGCAAGGTTGCAGGTTGATCCCCTCATCCATCCTTGTTAGTGTGTCATTGTGCATGCTCACTTCACAGCCGTTGTTCGTTTTCTCAGCTGTGGTTTCCTCTCTCCAGTATCTCAAATGCTTTCTCACTGTCCTGTCAAAGATTTGTGACGTTTCTTTCCTCAGAACATTTTCACCTTTTTACATTGTGTATCCTCATTTCAGTGACAGCGGCCTCTTCTGGGAAATTTGAAAAACATTTGCTGTGCACGCTTCAGACTGAGTTTGAGACTGAGTGATTATGTAACAGCACTGGTGAAAATAGCCCACCTACAATTGCTGCTGATTTTCTGAACACTGGCAGAAAACTGCATGAGCTGTGAGGGGAAAAAACGGTATAGAGGGCCCTGCATCACAGTATACTGACACTACAGGGTGGTATGTCTATCTGTGTGTTAGTCCGTGGTCAATGCCGTGACAAACTTAGCATCTTAAGTGTGACCGTGGTCGGTCCCAGTGGGATAATAGGGGGGGATGGCGCGGGAGGCTGGACGCAGGACCTCGTCCCTCTCCGTCATCACACGCAGGCGTGAGTGGAGGACAGCAGGTCACTGAGACACTAACTGTAATCTCCTACCAGCCCTCATCTGAAGTATGAAAGAGAAGCAGAGCATCAAGTGATATACAGTGTTAGAAAAATCAATGCCTGTCATGACATGGTTTTACAAATGGCCAAGGTCAGTCCCCAGGTTCGGTTAAGTAGTGGACGGGGATTTCAATAAATGAGGGAATGACTCTGACTTCAGCGTTTTACAGGGGTTTAGAGGAACAGCTGTCAAAAATCTGAAGATGTACTATCATGTATGAAAGTCCATCACCCTTATACCTGTGTTGTCAAATATCCTAAACCCTGCTGATTCAGTCATGCTGCCATTAGTATCACTGGGTACCACCACACAGGGACACATGATTGATTTAGTATTGTATTTCCATAAAAATTAGAGGACTTGCAAGAGGAAGGGTTTTAAAAATAATCAATGCAGCAGAGGCTGATGATCTAAATGTGTAATCTTTAAGGCCGACTCAAGATAACCTGGATGACATCACTGTGACATCATCAGGGTTATTTTCTCAAGGTTAACAAAAGCAGCAAGAGGAGTTCCTCCGGCCGCTCATCATAACATTTTATTGGGTAATTGATTTTTTACTAAGCGGAAACAATCACTAGAATAAAAGTATTATTCTCTTCTCATTAATATGCCTCTGTGCCGACGACAGCCAGTGGCCAACAGCATTAAGTCTTCTGGTTTTCTGTCTGCCTCATTCTTATAAACACATTATCTCACCCTGAGGGAATTTCAATGTTCATTTTGACTCAAGGTTAAACTGATAAGATTTATGTGGTTAAAGGTCAAGGTCACAGTGAATGTGATATATGAGGAACACCCATAGGCAATATCCTTTCATCCGGTACATCTACCAGGACTCATTGATGACCTAGTACTTAGGGGTCAAAGGTCAAGGTCACTGTGACTTCACACAACTCTTTTTTTGCATCTTGAATTAAGAATATTTTCAAATTTGACTGAAATGTTCACTTAGATTCAGAGACTCATTTATTAGATTTTGGTGGTTATAGGTCAGTGGTGAAGGTCATGGCCTCACAAAACGTGTCCTCTTGAACGTGATATAACTCAAGTCCAAAGTTGACCAGTTGGACATGAGGATGAACAGATTTCATTGGTCAAAGGTGACAGTGACCTTATACGAATCTGGGAAAATAATGAAAGTGAAACTGCACTGTTTGGTGGAGGCACAAAACCACAGGGTGCTATTTCTAGCTTCTTAAAGGTAATCGCGAAAGCTGAAATCTCTCCATCCTCTCTCTGTGTTTCTGAAGGATTGACCTTCCTCCGACACACAAGCCGCCTCCTCCCTATTCTGAGAGAGCGCCGACCATACCTCTGGGGGTCCACGCATCACAAGTGGCCTGGCTCTGTCAGGTAACACCCCCTCCACACACACACACACACACACACACACACACACACACACTAAACTCCAATTGTGTATATGAATTCTAGTATCTACAAGGCAAACATTATCATCTGCTATAAGCATAATGAGTGAGCACCGAGTCACAATAGGAAGTAATAAGCAACTAACTGATATCATCGGTTTTTTATTAAGTAGGAGGCCTAATAGCTGTACTCATTTACTATGCAAGATAGTTTAATTTTTAATTTGTGTTCTCAGCTCAACTCATGCTTTCATAAGCCTCTACTCTACGTCTATGTTTCTTATAGTCTTACCCAGCAACTTGCTCAACCTTTTTTTTCTCTTCAAGTGTATCACGACTTTCTGAGGCTCTGACATAAGAGATCACATGGGAAAATAAGACTATTTGGGGGTTTGGAGAGCAGCTGCTGGATATGAATGATGACACTCAAGTGTTTAATGATTCTTTGTTGTTTTTTTAAAATGAAGAATCGCAGGGCGGAGCGCAGGTACGAGCTGAGTGATGGGCAGCGCCCATCCACAACAAGGCCCAGGCTGCAAAGCCCCACCCAGGAGCTGTCCCGCCTGGAGTGGGTATGTCACCAGAGCGGGACAGACCACGTGTACATCAACCACCGTGAACACTATGTGTGACGGACACCATGAACTCAGTCCAACAAGCAGCTGTCAGACATTCACTCTGGAGGACCAGACTCACCTGATTTATTGAGGGTACCGTCTTTCTTTGCAGGCAGTTTTTCATTACATTTTACACATTTTACTTTTCTTACCATCTTAAATTCTCAAATATTTTGGACAATGCACTTATTTTCTTTCTTTTCTTTCTTGTTTAAAGTTAGATGGAAAGATGAATCAATATGTACTTGCAGCCGAGCACATAGTTAGCTTGGCTTAGCATAAAGACTGGAAACTGGGGGAAACAGCTAGCCTGGCTTTTGCAGTATACGTTTCCTAACGCTTTTGGAAATAAAGTGCATTTCCCAAAAATGTCAAAACATTCCTTTAATTCTTTTAGTTCCTTTTTAATTTTTGTTTTGCAAATGCATCAGTATTCAGTGTTTGATATCACTTACATGGGGTTTTAAAAATCACATGACAGAGAGAGCAAAACTCTCATTATCTGCCCCCCCCCCCGATCACTTTGTGCAGTATCCTTAATTTTAAACGTAGATGAAGAAGAGCTGAGGGTTGTATTCATCCACATGTCTGTGTTATCCTCTTGTCACAGAGGGTGGCGTGAAGCATAAATCTGAGGACTCTGTATTCTCAGGCATATCACAACTCACCAAACCAGGCCAGATCCAAACTTCTGAGGTCCACTGAGACCAGATGTACTAACTGCAACACAGACCCACGCTGGGATTAATTAAGGTATTTCTGTCCCACGTCTGTGATTTGCTGCTGTAATGTTATGACACAAGGTTTTTCGGCAGCAGAAACTGTAGATTTGTAAATGTGTAGCCTCAGTCTCAGAGTCATAATCTACTAATCAGGGGAACAATACCGTGACACATTACTGATATCAGTGTTTACATATTTATATATATATGTACTGTAGAAACTGCACCTAAACTGAAATGTGGCTCTGTTAGGCTATGATTACTATGAATTTAAAAGTGGAGAACTAACTGTTTTAAGTGCCATATTTACATTTTGATGGTATTCCTTTAAATATGCTGTGATCTATTTGTCCAATGTGGTTAATTGTGAGCATTTTCTTGATTTATCTACTAAATTGCAAGTGTGTGTTCTGTAAGTGGTCTTGCGATGAAACCCATCATCACGTCACAAAATCACATGCAAGTAATAACAGAGGGGACTATTAAAAGAAAGAAAAACTTCTGACTTGCTGTGAAAAATCAGATGTCTCTGCAGGAGTGTGTCTAACAACCTTCTGAAAGTGAGTCTCAGAGATGGAGGCTGTGAGTCCGTAAATGTGGAAATGAGAAGAAGTCCTTAAAGATATGACAGAGTTTTAATTGACATATTTGAGAAAAATTCATCTCAAGGTCACAGTGACATTGCATCCACAGTGATTCTTACGACAGATAGTTTTTTTTGCCCAGCAAAATTTAGAGTAGATGAATCAGTGTTTGTGTTGGAGGAGCCATGACTCATTTTGTATTGACGACAGTGTTTGGATTCATTTATTTCTATAGATCAGTCAGAGCAGTGGGATGTGTAGCTGACACTCTCCAAGAGGGACATCTAGTGGTCAAATGTGTTAGTGTAAGCATCACCATCACTGCATCTACAGCAAAATAATAGAAGTGATGTCTTCTCAGTTTCAATTGGAGTTTTAAGATGAAATAATAATCAGTGTTAATATTAGTTAATGTGAAAAGTTGATATGTCAATCGCATATCATATTTACTGGTTTATCCAACTGGACTGCAGGGAAGTATGAATGTCAGATGACATTTAAGAAATCACCCCATCAGGAATCTTACAGGGAAATATTTCTTTGTAGTGCTGATTTAGACAAATCTGTATATTTGTTAAAATAATGCACTAATATGATTATTAAGACAATAAATACTGATGCTATTGAAGCATATGACTCATATTAACTGTGTCCTGAGTTGTCTCCACTGATTTACACAAGGTAAGAGTAACAGACCTTTTTAACATGTCACACACAATTTCACACAATAAGATTTAGGTTCCCTAAATGTTCCAGAATGATTCCCTCAAGATCCTTGAATTATTCCCTGGAAAAAAGATGAAAAGTTGAAAAACACCCTTTCTCTGTAAGAAAGAATATACCTGGTTCCATCCCCTGACCCGCACCACATCCTTCTGCCAAATTTAGTGGAAACAAACCAACAAACAAATGGACACGGGTGGCTACTTCAGTTTCACAGAAACAAGATCATGTCCTCGTAGAAAAAGTTAACAAATAACTGAGCGATTGAATTAGATTTACTTTGCAGGTAGTGACTAAGAAACAAACTCCCTTTCAGTTTTGTAAACAAGTTTTTTTTTTTTATTCGGGGAGCGACATGATAATAGGAAGAAAAACAATACAAAATAATAAATACCTATAGAAGTAAGTAAACCTAAAAAAACAGTGAGAACTGTTACAGACTGTGCCTATAGCTTCAAGCGATGGGCTCTACTTCTCTGAAGACCACAATTACACCTTTATTTTGTTGCACAATTGACAGTAGTGTTAAATGATATTAACTGAGCTTGAATGCTGCTGAAATCCTGCATCACAATGTAAAATTTCAGTGAATAACATAAGCTCATTAAGACATGGCAGTATGAGTGCAGCTTCGTTTTAAATTCTAAAACACTGACCACTAGAGAGCGCCACATGATCACGAACACTAATCTGACATGCTAACAGTAGCTCACCAGCTGCACTGAAATAACTGCTTACAGTTGACTGGCTCAGGTTTGGCAGCTAAAACCATACAGTTTTCAGAATAGAGGAAAAGTTCACCAAAAATTGAAATATTCGCAATAATCGATTAAACCTCATTTGTTAAAGCACTGGACGATTTCTAGCAACTTTTCAGCCCCGGCCAGAGCTTGAACAGAAAGTTACAGAAATAAATCCAACTGCTCCATGTCAGTTAACGACTGAAGTGTCCTGAGCTACAGTGAAGACAATAGAATCGTTTGGTTGATTTGGAAAATGTGGATGAGGAGATGTTTGAGCATTGGACTATTCTTAGTCAAATAATACTTTTCTTGGTGCCACAGGAGCAATCTGTGTTTTCTCTTCAGGATGCTGAGCCTGACCTTCCATTGGAAGAGGTCTGAGTATAAATATTAATGGATTCTTAAAGTTGCTATTTATCTATTTACCTGTCCTCTTCATCTTCTTGTTATTCTCAAGTTGTCAGCAACATTATGTTGCACAGCTCAATTTGCTAATTTGACCCATTCCTCTGTCTCAAACCTTTATGTCAGTAAGTGTCTAATGTCTGATGATGAAGATGAATATTTTTGTTGTTTATTTCCTGTTGTCCTCTGATGGCAGGTTATGGAGCAACTTTTTGCAATTCAAACATGGTTTAAAGAAAGTTATATATGTAGTTATGTCTTGGACAAAAAGGTAAAAGTTTTTGTGAACATGACAGCAGACTAGTAGCATGTCCTGTTGCTCCAAGAGAGTTTGAAAGAGCAACTGGAGACATACACTGGCAGGATTAAAGCACTTAATCATTTATAATCAATATAATCCAAGTATAAATAATGAACAGCAGATGTTATCATTGGACTCTGCAGTTCCCCCAGCTTTGCAGAGTTTTTCTTTTTTTTTTCTTTTTCTGGTGCACACTTGACCGATCAGATCTCTCACTGCTCTCAAAGCTTTGTTTTCAGCCACAACAGTCAGCTGTTAGGGGGGTTAGGGTTAGGGGTTTTTAAAACCAACGGTAGTCTGTAAAGTATAAAGTTACTGCTGTCTAGTACCGTAAAGCAGCGTAATTCACTGCAGGACAGTTTTTATATCATTTATTGTCGTCATTAAAGTGGGTGAACTAAACTTTATTCTCTGTTTCTACTGCGTTATATTGAAGCTGGATTGACTTGTTCTTTAACATAGCAAGCATAAAAATATTTTAATTGATGGATGCAGATAATATTATCAAATGTCTATTCAACTGAAATTAATTGATGCTAAATAATGAAAGCAGCAATAATGCTTCATAGCTTCATGATGAGATGTTTTGCAGATCAACAGGAGCACAGTTCTCATTCTGTAAAAATCAAGATGTTATTAAACGAAAAGAACCAGTGATATTGTGTGCTGTCCCTAGCTGGACTGCATGACTGTGTGAACTAGTTATTCTAAACACTGCCAACAAAACATCTCTGTAAATAAAATTCCTCTGCTCATACATTTCCCCTTCCCGTCCTTGAGTGAATGGTAGTTTTGTTTCAGCCGTCAGGATCAATTAAAACTTGCTCCCATGAACAAACATCGCGGTGCAGAGATGGAAATGAGCTGCCCCTCTAGCGGCCCCCACAGAGGATGTACCTTTCCAACATTTTCCAAATCCCAAACTTGGGTGCCTTCAACACCACAAAACGAGTTACTTTGATTTGGCTTTCTGTTTGGCGGCGGGTACAGCTGCAGGTTTCGGGGGAGGTGTAGGAACAGAGGAGGGTCTCACTGAACTATACAGATTGAGGCACCTGCAAAAAAGGAGATGGGGAGGTTTCACATTACACAACATAATGTAAACAGACATAAAAGAAAGCAATGTATAATTCCAGAAACCAGAAACTTAGAAAAGAACATAGAAGAACATCATATGTAAAGAGCAGGTTACTTACATGTTTTTGATTTTCTTCACAAAAGCTTTTACCGCTCGAACAATCTTCCTTATCCGCACCTGACAGCACAATAACACATGGGTCAGTACATCTAACACAATTTGTCGTTGTCATCAAGAAAATTTGTAGATATTCTCATATACACTCTAGTTCTTCAAATACACATACGAGTACAAATGCATATATTCAGCAATAGGATGTGTATTTTTGAGATTTTTTACAAAAAGTTTTTTACTATCAAGGAGGACCATTGAGCAATCAATAAATCTAATCGTGTAAAAAAAGATATTTGATTTCCTGTTGTATTAATTTATGGATAATAAATGGATAATGCCTTTTATTGAATGCTTAATATGTTTAATAAAGTATTGTATTTTATGGTATTTATATTTAATTTAGAAAAAAATTACAGTAAATATGTATTTGTATTTTGCGCAGTGTATGTAATCATTTTGAAAAGTCTTGAATTCTCTTGAAAAACCAACCAGTCTGTATTCTGCTTGAAGGAGATGCAGCTTTGTGATGTTATCGATATATAATTTAAAGAAATGTTCAGTTCACACTGTCTTACCTGCTGCTTTTTGTAAAACAGAGGAAGTGAGAAAACAGTGATCACAGCTGAAAAACAAGGACAAAGCAGAAAAGACTTGTAAACATAGTATTGTGTAGTGCAACACATTACTGAAATGAATTAGCAAAGATAAGATATGTTAGGACACTGGTAAAGCTCTAGACGGCTTTTTGTCACATCGCATTCATATGTGTCCATGTGAAAAGGCTCTTCAGGGTGAGGTAGGAGTGGATGGATGAAAGCACAAAGAGTTAAGGTCACACAGAGATGCCAGAAGGATAATTCATTGGAATCAGTTCAACTCACCAGTTATGATCAGAGTCAGTCCGTTGATTAGGACACCGACATAAGTCAACAGATACAGGAGCGCAACAAACTGAGAGAGAGAGTAGAGACATTCAATGGTATATTTTTCCTGTGTATTTCTACAATATAGTTACAGACTTAGATTTCATGTTTCAGCTTTGAGGTTTCATGAATCAGATACTGTACATTAATTAATTTGGCTCACATGGAACTTTTCAATCATTATTTTATTATCATGCTCTGACCTTTATGGAGTCAATCACGCTGTCGATGAAAAGGAGCCGTTTGATCTCTGTAACAGCGAATGCAACCAGAAGCACCACCTCCTCCACCAGCATCACTGTATCCTTATCTGTCAGGGTGCTGTCATAATCCAGATATGACCTGGGAACATGCACACAGACACACAAATACAAAAACTAGAATGGGACTCAGTAGAGCACATACCTCCACCGAGGCCCAACATACAACTGAAATTCTATCAAGCTGCACCAGATTTCACACACTCAGAAATAAGTTTCCTTAATATTGCTTTTTTTCCATCAAGATTCATGAAATATTCTTTTGGAAATTTGCAGAAATGCAAAAAAAAAACAAACAAAAAACCATTTTATCTTGCTTACAAACAAATGGGCAGTGGTGAAAATGTAACCTCCTTGGCAAAAATAATGAAATCTAATTTCACTCCGGTAAAACAGGTCAACCGAGGCCCTACATTTGGCCAAAACTGCCACATGATTGAAGGTTTTAACCCCAGAGATCAGTGCAGCAGCATGTTTCTACCACTGAACATCCAGCGTGGCCCAAATCAACAGACTCACTGGAAAGGGTGCACCCCGGGGTTCCAGCGCATCAGCTCCAGCAGCTTGTAGTAGAGGCGTATGAGGAAGGTGACACTCATGATACCCAGGCAGATGTGGGAAAGCACGGTGATGGCACTGAGCTGGAACAGGCTCGCCAGACTGATCACCAGCCCTGTGAACACCACACCGGTCCACCTCACGCTCCGCCAGTACATCAGATCCACAACTGCAAAACAAGGGGACACAAGTTTGTAGATCATCCATTTGGTATAGTTGAGAGCCTGTGACATGTCATCACAAGTCAGCTCTTAACTCTTGGCTCTATAAAAAGACGCACAGATTTTGTTTCATAAGATTTCTTAAATTCTGTCATATCAAAATGCATTGAGTGGATTCACTGTTCAATGTAACGACCCAGATCACCTTCTTCTTTTTGTTCCAAACAAAACTGCTGCTGCCGACAGAAACATGACACACATCCCTCCCTCTGTGCCAGAGAGCTACATGGAGGTTAATTAATTAAAAATTGTGAGTAAGTAAGAAAGAGGCTGGAGAAAAGATGAAAAGTAAAATAAATACAACTAATCATAATGCCGTATTTATAATGTTAATCATAAGCTTTCATAATGTGAACAAGATTCTTTACAATCATTTCTTTGTGCTATAAAAAAGCACGTCAGAATGGATGTATTGCTTCTAATAATGTGCTCTGTGCTGAATGAATAATAAATACATTCTCATTGAGTCACAGTGTATCAGACCATCAAACAACAAATCATCAGATGAGCCTCCTAATTCTAGTGTTAATATCACAGCAATTATCTGATTAAAATAAATCCTCGAGAATGTTACACATAAACATATTCACACACACGACAACAACAACTTGTCCTCGAAGAGACAATGCATGAATAAGAGAGTCTCGTTTCACTCACCCAATTATTGAACCAGTGGAACATATATACATAAAATATACATAAACAGTCTAATCTAATGGCTCATCTGAAAACATCCCTATTGTTACACCTATGAAGTCATTTTCCAAGCTTGGCATAACCATACGCTGCCATAAGTTCATTATTTTAAACAATACAAAATAAAAATAGCAATAACAATTCTAATTGGACCATTAGGATCTTTAAGAATGAAACAAACAACAAACATTCATTCAGGGACAGAGTCTCATTTAGCTGTGTCCCATGCTATCCAACAAATGACAGACATGCTGTATCCACACCTGCCCAGCAGAGGGGAAAAATAACTTATCTACCCCCCCACCTGGCAGGTGGAGTCTGACCACTGCCCGCTCTCCTCACTGATTCACTTTACTTTAAGCTGTCACCATTTCTTTGCTTACGTTTGGTGGCCATTTCAGCAGCGATCCTGCCTGCTCTCCTCTCTTCCTTGCGCTCCCACTGTTGGCTTTCACTCCAGGCTTTTTTTGGCTGCCCGGGCTCAGTCAGCAATATAAGGCCTGGCTGGCCTAATTTTATCCTGTATTGGATACCCCCTGTTTGGATTCACACACACACGCACACACATGCACACACACACACACAGACAGTCAAATTGGGAACCTGAGACGTCAGCATGTACATGTCCCTCAGCATTCAGAGGCTCTTGGTTGACAGCTCTGTGAGGACTCTGGATGCCGACCTGCACCCAGAGGCCCTCACCATAATATGTAGCTACGTTGGCTGGGAACAGCTTTTAATGTAAAATTAACAATCAAAATTAATAACATTAAAATCAGTGTCTATAGGCTGCTATCTCCACCTGCTGTACACTACACTTATCATCCCAACCTACTTCATTTATAGAAAGCTTGTTATTTGGATCCATGAAGTATTCTATGTAAAATTGTCATGATTATATAATGTGATTATACATATACATTTACATATACATCTTTATGACAAGTGATGATATTTGAATGATTTAACATGAAAACTGTACAAATATATCATCATGCCTGGTCACAGTAACATGTCATCATGAAATCACGGTGCAGAGAGAATGCAGAGATGCCATCCTGGCTGAATCCACAGATTTCAGCAGAACGGTGCCAAACAAAACTGCAGGAAGTCGAAAAATGCTGTTTCCGCTTGTTGAAAACAAAATAATTAGTTAAAACATTTACCAGTCTTTGCCTCTTCATCCCTGTTGAATTAGATACAAATGTCCACATCTCTTGTCTTTATAAAGACAAAAACATACATTTGCTTTCTTTTCTTTTTATTTGAGATGGCATTTAAGAAGAATACTAACAATTATATATCCATTAAGAACAACCTGCCTCTAACACATTTTGCTTTACTGCTACATTAGAACCAGTAAAATGTGATTGGTAAAAAAATGTGTAAACACTATTTTAATTGAGAATTAAAATTTTAAAAAATGCATCTTTTATTTCAGGTTTAAAGTGTCTGTCAGTGTTGCTGGATGATCAGTGATGAATCCCTGCAGTGGTGCAGCCTGTGCACTGTCCCCATGTTTGATTTGTATATAATGAAACACGCAACAAAATACTGTCAGTCACACACTTCGTGCTAAATGGCTGACAGTCATGTAATCCACAACAGTGGAAGCCCGTAATCCCATCTCATCAAAGGTTGAGATTACCAGAGATGTGGGAGGGGCAGTGCTGCAGATAGGAGGACAGTGAGAGAGGGTGAGCACTAAACATGACAGCGGGGATGCGAGCCAGGCAGCGATTGGTGCACACAAATAGCCAGCCAATCCCAGCAGAGGCAGGGAAAATAACAAGACGAGGGGAGAGCTGGTGAAAGAGGGAAGAGCTATGAAAAAGAGAGGGAGAAGGTAATATCACAGCAGCACAGAGGCAAGACCAAACACGTAGGAGAGAGGAAGGATGAGTGGAGGAGAAAGGGCTGATCGGTGAAGGTCTCCAGAGAGGGAAAGCAGAGAGGAGAGGAAGGAGATGAACAGGGATACGGGGGTGAGCAGCCAGCACAGGGAACATCCATCAGCTCAGGCAGCCATGCTCTGAGCCCTGGAGCAGCAGGGCTACACAGTCACTGCACAGGCCCAGCATCAGGCCTACCTCAGCCCTGCATCCCAGCCACAAACACCAGGGCAGGGACAGGAAAAGATCCACAGCACATCAGCTGCTCACAGGAGCCATGAGGACATCCAGGAAGGGCAGCGTGGAGATGCCTGCATTTGTACGGCAGCTGGTGAAAGAGACGGAGAAGAAGGTGAGCTCTTTCTTCAAGGGGAGCCGTGGTGGAGGAGCAGCAGAGGGGGAAAAGCCAGGGGAGGGGGAGAAGGAGGAAGTCATCCCCAGCCCCTACCTGGACCGGCCAGTCCTGGACAAGCTGGCAGAGGAGGGCTGTGCCCGCTGGGGTCTCACCTACGCCCTGGGGAGCATGCAGGGCTGGAGGGCCAACATGGAGGACTTCCACAACTGTGTGCCACAGCTGGGTGGAGAATTCGCAGACTGGAGCTTCTTCGCTGTGTTTGATGGGCATGCAGGCAGCTCCGTGGCACAGCACTGCTCCCAGCACCTTCTGGGTCACATCCTCGCCACAGGTGACATACTTTAAATTAATGTAAAAGATTGAATCACAAATGATGGAGTTTTGCTTTGATGACAGCTGGTTAAATATGTGCTGATGAATATCAATATCATCAAGGATTATTTCAGATTGTATACTGCTCCAAATATCTTTTTTATTCTGCGTTGTGATGTGTTTTTATTGCTTACTTGTGTCAGGGAACACTTGCTTTTGAAACATCGCACTTCTTTGTCTAACCAGGTGGAATAGGACCAGAGGATGACCCTGAAAAGGTGAGAGGTGCCATCGTCGAGGGTTTCCTGCAAACTGACAAGCACCTACACTCAGTGGCACGTCGAGAAGGCTGGGAGAGAGGTGGCACCACTGTGATAGCCACCCTCATCTCTCCGTATTACATCTACTTCGCCAACTGTGGTGACTCAAGAGCCATGTTGTGCCGATCTGGCCAGGTCTGTTTCTCCACTGACGACCACAAACCCTACAGCCCTCTGGAGAAGGAACGTATTGAGAGTGCAGGCGGCTCAGTGTCCTTCCAAAGGATCAATGGTTCACTGGCAGTCTCCCGTGCTCTTGGGGACTTCAGCTACAAGGGGGCAGAGAACCGACCGCCCAGCCAGCAGATGGTGTCCCCGGAGCCAGAGGTGTTTGTTGTGGAGCGCTCGCCAGCAGATGAGTTCCTGGTGCTCGCCTGCGATGGGGTGTGGGACACCATCAGCAATGAGGAGCTGTGCGCCTTTATCCATAACCGGCTGAGTGTGTGCACTGATCTGAGGGATGTCTGCACTCAAGTCATTGACCTCTGTCTCTACAAGGTCAGAACCAACACAAGTGATCCAGCATCTTATGCATTTCTACATGTTGTAAATCCAACAAAAAAAAAAACGCAATTTCACTCTAAAACTGAGTTACATAATTTCTAATGGGCTGTGGATTTTATGTAATAACATAATCCCTTAAAATGTGACTTTGTAGAGTTTAGCTTGATCTGAAGAGCTCAGCTTTTGAAAGGTCACTCCATTTCCACACACATTCACATCTAGTCTAGTCATACATAATCAATCTTATATGTGACTTATATTCAGTCTTGAGACAGGTGGTCATATTTAAAGGCATATTTACAAAAAAAGTTTAATACAACAACTATAGCTTATCTCTCTCTTTGAATCAATACTTAAAAAGCTGGTGACCGCTTTAAAAGAAACATTTTGTGAATGTTGTGGAGCTCCACAAGGAAATGTGATGGGTCCTCTCAATATTTGGTGCCCATAGAAATTGAAATCCAGTAACTTGTTGGTCTGATGATTTATTTGTAAATGTAAATTACTTCTCATAAGGATAAAAAAAATGTAAAGCAAACTACACAAACAGATGTGTGGTTTAAGGATTTCTCTGAAATAATGTTTTTAACCACCTGGCAAATATAAGTATTTTATTCATTCTAAATTTAGGTTAGTTGTACACTAATAACATATGTGTCTCTTTGCCGTAAGACAGGAAGTGTGCATTGTGTTTTGGGGCTTTTAGTAATATTGTGGGCCATCAATTTAGTTTTAAACGCCACTTCATCAAAGTGACTCTTTTCACATAAAAATGTTCATGTGCTACATTATGAATATAAACATATAGATTATAGGCGCTTTAAACACATCAGTGTCCATTTACAGATGCAAAAATCTAAACGTGAACCAGAGAGTAGTTGAATGATAATAATTAGACTGAAAGAACATCACTGACTGGTTTAGTCTCATTTACACTGAGGCTGCTGAGTCTGACAGACCACCTTAAAATAGCCTGCAGAGGTGTCAGAACAGGTTACATGGGATTATTCATTTCAGCCACTGAGAGTGTCATACATGGTTGAAGGTTGATGTTTAGAACACAGCATTGCATACATAAATATTCACTTCAGACCAGTGAGGGGCAAAAATTATTCCACCACAGCCAGTTCCAATCACATTGCAGCTACCAGAGTGTGGTTAGTGAAGGGCTTTAGAACTACTGAAGAAAGAAAATCTTTTTTATCTTATGTTTTATCCATGATTTTCAATATTACAGTAAGCCTATTCTAACCTATTCTACCATTACTGGCAATAACTCCTCCATTTTCTATTGTCTAATCAAGTCAATGATGTAAATATTGTAATTTTGTTGATTAGTTCAGCCACATGCAGCATCTATTGCACTTCTATCCGTCCTGGGAGAGGGATCCCTCACATGTGGCTCTCTCTAAAGTTTCCCTGTTTTTCCTCCCCGTTTATATTATATATATATTAGGGATTATTATTATTATTGTAGTTTTCCCTCACTCTTGTTGAGGGTTAAGGGCAGGGAATTGCACCTTGTTAAGCCCTATGAGACAAACTGGGATTTGAATTTGGCTAAACAAATAAGATTTAATTTATTGATAATTTATTTATTTGAATTTATTTATTCATTGTAATTAAACCTAGTCTCTGTATAAAACCAGGGAACACAGAACCTTTAGGCATTTGATAAAATAAACCATGTTTACTGTTGTATACTCATTATAGTCAAATAATAATACCAGGGTGATCACAGGCCACATGCACGCTCTGTTTGGCCATCATGTCACTCTGTTATGTAACAGGTCCTCAGCTTTGCACAATGACCTCAAAATGTCACAGCTTCTTCCACACTTCATTTCAAATGTCCTGCTCCACTGCATCTGTGTGACGCTGGTGTGCAAACCTCGAGGTGAAAATGATTCTTTTCTGAAACAGTTCACCCTGAATGAAATAGCGTATCATAGGATGACATTTGTTATGTCAGCCGTCATAACTCACCTCTGATGACACCTTTGCTTCGGTCCACAGGGCAGCCTGGACAACATCAGCATCATCCTGCTGTGCTTCCCTGGAGCCCCCCAGCTGTCAGCAGAGGCATTACACCAGGAGGCTGAACTGGATGACCTGCTGGAGTCCAAAGTAGCAGGTGTGTGTTGATAATGGTATTAGGTCTAATAATCCACACCGATAGTTCATCGACATGAAACTCTTTAACACTTTTCTTTTACCAGTTCTCCATTTTCTTCCGTCCACTAAATCCCATGAAAAGACCAAAATCAACAATGAATTGATTCTGCTAAAAATAACAAGTATAAAGTATATAGTATTATAATTATACGTATTTTGAATTAAATGTCTTCAACAATTCACACTGTTGCTCTGGATGCAACACACATACAATGTATATTCTCAGTCAATCCAATATCCTGGTGTTGTAAATACTCTTCTCACTCTAATGTACAACTGTAAATAGTGCCAAGTATACGCTAATTTACTCCAGTCTGAGTAACGTCTGAGAAAACTCTACAGCTGTCAACTGTTTAAACTGTGAAAACACATTCTTTGTTTTGGTCTTCTCATGGTTGACAATTTCTTGACAATATAAGAAAAAAAGGATAATGTGACTATGAATTGTGTATGTAATATGTACAAGTCTTGAGAAATCCTCTTAATTTTTTTTAAATGCCTGTTTCTGAAATATTTTTAACCGGACAGAAATCTATGATGAGCTCTGTGCCAGGGGCGAGGAACCTGACCTGCTGTCTGTCCTCACGGTCCTCGCATCCACCGTCATACCTGGATTACCACCAGGGGGAGGCATACAGAGCAAGTAAGTTTGTGTGTGTGTGTGTGTGTGTGTGTGTGTGTGTGGTTGCGTGTATAAGTGTGCATCATCAAATTACACCTTGTAACTTCTGCGTGTTACAGAAGGAACTGCATTATTTCTGCCTACTATCAACAAAGAGAGACGCACAAGCCATCAGTCCCAAATGTGAGTACAAAGTATACATACGTCCAATTCTGACCATGTCACTTCCTTTAATGTGCAATTGTGACTGTAAAAACTATTTAAATTACTATAATTATTCCCTACTTTATGTGTGTCCAGGGCCTGGGAGGCTCCTGAGAAGCTCCACTGGGTCTCATCTCCGAGGATCCGTGGAGGGACTGTAATTAATGTCCATATTAAAACTGTTTCCTTCGTGTGTGCAATTTGACAAAAAGGGAGATG